GCACAGCAGGCTCACACTCTCCCCGATCTTGACCTCCATGTCGCCCAGGGGCTCAGGAAAGTGAGGGGCAGCTGGAGGAGAGAGCAGCAGAGAAAGAGCTCAGGTAAATCCAGCATCCCAGCTGCCCCACAGCTGGGCCTGGAGAAGGGATAGGGCTGCAAAACCAATGAGCCAGGTTCCCTGATGAGTTACAAGACTGACTTTAAAGACTGACTTTTTTGCTTTTTTGGTGTTTTTCCAAAGCTGACAGAGCCGTTGCAGCTTTCATCTCTTCCAGTTACACTCATCGACCCCTGGCTCAGCAAAATAACTTGCACTTTTCCATCTTTAACTGCTTTAAACCTGCTGCCCTCAACACAGAGCCTGTCCTCCTCTTCCTCCTCATGCTCTTTCATCCCTTCTGCCTCCAGCAAAAGATTTTCACCTGCATTTTCAGACACACAAAAGTCAGCCCCCACCTCTGCCTAATCCCACTGAATGCACTTTGCACCCTCAGTTGTGTCCCAAGCCCTCATGTCCCAGTGCAATAACAACTGCCTTGTCTTTTCCCACTTGTTGAGCCTCCTGCATCTTCCCAAAGCTTGAAAATCCTGCCAGGCTTCTGCCTCTTTGTACCAGGCACCAACACCTCCCTGCTGGGGAGGAGACTTCGAAAATCTCTCCCCAGGAGACTTGGAAAGCAGCAAAGGGGAGCTGAGCCAGGAGGGAGAGCTGTGGAACAGGCTTGAGCACCCGGTAGGACCAGCAGGACTTACAGCCCACGTGCAGGACGGTGCTGTCGAAGGCGATGCCAGCCTCGCCAAGGGCCTGGCAGCCGTAGAGCCCCGCGTCCTCCTCCCGCACCGCCTGCAGCCGCAGCACCGCGCGCTGGGCGCCCACCGGGAACGTGGCCATGGCCTGCTCCCCTGCCCCGAGACCCCACATCAGCACCCTGGCTGCCTCTGTGGGCCCCTCCTGATGTCACACCAGGGGACCCCACCTGCCTGTCCCTGCGGGGCAGCGGAGGGGTCCCAGCGTGGGCTCCCAGGCTCACCTTTGTACCACACGACGTGGGGTGGGGGTGCCCCCGAAACCCAGCACTCCAGGGTCACATCCTCTCCCACCAGCACCTTCAGGCTGGGTGTCACTGCCAGGATGGCAGGAGGTTCTGTGCCATGGGGAGAGATGTCTCTGGTCACTCTCTGCTGCGCTGGGTGCGGTGCCATCCAGCCCGAGGGGAGTGCAGAGCCCTGGAGCTGTCCCCCAGCGCCCTCCATCACACACAGCCCCATTCCCGTGTGCTGCCCTCAGCAGGGAGCAGGTACCAGTGAACTCCAGGGTGATCACTTGCTCATCCCAGCCCAGTGTGCTGCTGGCATAGCAGCTGTAATTCCCTGCATCCTCTGGGACAGCAGACCTGATGTGCAGGGTACCCTCAGCATCCCTGAAAACCCTGCAGCAAACGGGAGAGAAAGGGAGAAATGAGCCCTGTGAAAACAGGACTGATGGAAAATGAGTTGATATAAATGAGCAGGTTTCAGGCCGTGCTGGGCATGTGGTGGATGTGGGTCAGCTCTTAGAGCCAGCTGCTGCAGGGAAGGACTTTGCTTTGAACCAGGCAAAAGCACTGAGAATTGGGCTTTTTCATCTCAGAAGTCCAAAAGTCTTCCCCAAAGTCAACTCTGGTACTCACAGCCTGACATGGGCAGTTGAAAGGCAAAAAAGCAGAAGAAATTAAAGGGAAGTACAAGGAGTATTTTGAGACTTGAGCTTACACCAGGTGTGCAAAGTGGGGACGGTGACCTGGATAAAGCTTAAAAATAAATATAAGAAATTAAGGCCAGCAGCATGCCAAGCATCTCAGGAGCATGGGCTGGGATACTGCAATGCCTCCCTCTTTCCAGAGCT